TTATGCTTCCAAAAGCTCCTACACGATGAACTCCTAGCGCTTCTCCTACGGATGATTGTAGTTTCAGAAGAGCGTATGAAGATCGCCTGTAGGAGATATAAAATCCATAAATACAGGCAGCACTGCACTCCCGAATAAAAAAAAATACCAGGATTTATCAACAAGCTGAGCATTCAGTGGTGCAGTTTCCACTGCATCGACAATAGGAGGGGATGTCAGATGCGTCGATAATATACAGAGGCATCAGAACAAACGTTTTTCATTTTTCCCCCCTTTAAATACAGCGCTGCATAATTACTGTGCTTGCAGCAAAGTAGTTATCCAATTGTTTGGTTGTATACGGTTTAAAACGAACGTCTGAAAGTCATAATTTTCATCGCGCTCATCCAGAAAGCCGCCAGAGCCAATCCCAGGCGTAAGACTACCTTTTCGAGAAACGAACAATTCATCGTTCCTTATTTCCTGCTGCAAAATTTTGATATAAAAACCAGAACAACATTCATTGCAGCTATCAAAGCTAGCATTCTCTCAAAACTTTCAAAGTGTTACGAAAAAATACGAACTGCCGTCTAGAGAGGGCATAGACGGGCAGATCTCATCATTTTCAGTAATAGAAAAATTTACCTTCAACAGATTCTCCCATCGAAATACGCAAGCCTTATAAATAGTGACTTCGGGATGTTTACGAACCAGTTTTGTAGTGAGCGGTTTGATCAGATCAATAAGACATAATAACTCATCCGCAAGAGGTACTAATGAACACGATGAGATCCGTTTTCGCAACGAATCTTGACTCGAACTTGGTCCAAGATGCGCCACGCTTGCTGAGCGATTCCATTCACTTTTTGTTGGCCGAAGCAACTCTTTCTTTAAGTCATCTCGTTCTATCGGCAGTGCTTCAACCTATATTTGGTGCGTTGAACAAAACTGACGAAGTAATCTCGAAACCGAAAAAATATCCATTAAAAAGAACACGGAGAAACGAACCGTATCAATGCTAGGGATTGATTTACTGATATCGTCATAGACGCTGTCCAAAATATTCGTTGAAGACCGCCAAATTTCTTTTTGTCGCATAAGATAACTGCCGTGCTTTTTTTCTCGTAGCAGTACACATGGTTTCTTTTCCTGGAAAAATTTTTTTTGATATACAAATTATAAGCTTCACTTCCCTTTCCCTTACCCTCTCCACCCCCTCGCCTGATTCCTCCTCTTCAAGAAACTGCTGACTGAAGGACTTAGCCTCAAGCATGGAGCAATGAAAAAAGTCACTTGTCAAAAAAGTAACTTCGGAACTTTTAGCCACTGTCGGTTTTTGATAAAAAGCTTCGGAGCTGAAGAAGCATCCAGCCCGAGAACTGCTGATATCAGATAATTGCTGTCGAAAAACTATCCAGCCCTTCAATGGGATGAAAGACCGCACGTTATCGGCAATTAGTTTTTGTCACAAATCATAATTTTCGATAAATAAAACACAAACACTAGCTGCGTCACTGGTCGATGCATCATCCAGGAAGTAATTTTCGCTGCACGTACTGCTTGCTGTGTTCATGTTGCTAGCGGTCATCAGCGGGCTGCAACAATGTATTCAGCTTGTAAAACTGAAGGGGAAAAAAGAGCTAACTAACAGGCGATGAAGAAACAATTATGCTCTCTGGACTATTCCCCCCTACTATCTATTAACTAGCTTGAGAGCAGATTCATTAGTACTTTATACGAGTTCTCTCTTAACATTGATGCATTTGGCATTTACTCCTACGTGCACGTGAATGTGTTACACTATACATTTATTTCGCTCTGTTA